AGCGGAACAGTTGGGCCATCAAGTCCCGAACTCAAGCTGGGCTAGGACACTGTGTAAAAGCCTTACCAGCAAGAGAACTGCAAGTCTATAATCCTGAAGAAACAACGTGCTCTGGTTTCACTCTTGAAAGCCCACAAATACGCTCGAAGTTTTGCCGGGGCCGCGCCCGCAAACAGGCTTGAGGCCCCGCCCGGGCCGTGCACAGACGCCGCGCAAGGCGCTGGTAACGCGCAGGCGGCTGAAAGGACAAAAACGGCCAGGCTCGCTAGCCCGCTCGGGATCCCGCTCGGGCCGAGCACGGATGCCACGCAAAGCACCGCTCGGGATTTCCGGGGCGAGCGCGAATGCCACGCAAAGGCCTCAGACCCTCTTGCGGAAGCCATACAGTTAGCACACCCCAGACCCTCTTGCGCCTCGTTTCGCAATGTCAGCCAGGACTCTTTGCATTACGCTTGCCAACGCGCTTCTCCTACAGGACTCGCCGTTTCCTGCAAGGGCAGCCCAGCTGTCTTGATAATTGAATTCGGCTTTCGGAATTAAAAGAACGGGCAGCCTTAACTCCACCCCTAAAAGCCTGACAACTCCACCCCTAAAGCCATGCTTCCTGCGACTTGAAAGGGCGCCCGTAGCAACAAAATACGACATTATCAAGAAGCGCGCATTGTCCGAGTGTTGCACCATTTGGCATCCAAATCCCAATGCATTATCGTAGCGGAACAGTTGGGCCATCAAGTCCCGAACTCAAGCTGGGCTAGGACACTGTGTAAAAGCCTTACCAGCAAGAGAACTGCAAGTCTATAATCCTGAAGAAACAACGTGCTCTGGTTTCACTCTTGAAAGCCCACAAATACGCTCGAAGTTTTGCCGGGGCCGCGCCCGCAAACAGGCTTGAGGCCCCGCCCGGGCCGTGCACAGACGCCGCGCAAGGCGCTGGTAACGCGCAGGCGGCTGAAAGGACAAAAACGGCCAGGCTCGCTAGCCCGCTCGGGATGCACCGCTCGGGAGTTCCGGGGAAGAGCGCGGATGCCACGCAAAGGCCTCAGACCCTCTTGCGGAAGCCATACAGTTAGCACACGCCAGACCCTCTTGCGCCTCGTTTGGCCGTGTCAGCCAGGGCTCTTTGCATCACGCCTGCCAACCCGCTTCTCTACTGCAATAGCTGTCTTGACAATTGAATTTGGCTTTGGGATTCACAAACAACGATCCCCTAGAAAAGCCTGGCAACTCCATCCCTAAACCAATGCTTCTTGCGACTTGAAAGGACGCCCGTAGCAAAAATCAACGGCATCATCAAGAAGCTCACGTTGTCCGAGTGTTGCATCATGTTGCATGCAAACGCAAACGCATTATCGCAGCGGACAGTTGGGCCCGTGTAAAAGAGCTTTACCCGCAAGAAAAAGACAAGTCCATCATCCTGAAGAAGCACCGTCCTCTGATTTTACTCTTCAAAGCCCACAAATACGCTCGAAGTTTTGCCGGGGCCGCGCCTGCAAACAGGCTTGGGATCCCGCTCGGGCCGAGCACAGATGCCGGACAAAGGCGCTGGTAAGGACCAAAGCAGACACGCTCGGGATCCCGCTCGGGCCAAACCCGTGATAAGGACCAACACCGTCACGCTCGGGAGTCCACTCGGGCCAGCTATGGATGCAACAACGCGCAGGCGCCTGCAAGGACCAAAGCGGCCAGGCTCGCCTGCCCGCTCGGGATCCCGCTCGGCGCGAGCACGGGTGCCACGCAAGGAAAAAGCAAAGGCAAGCGAAGCCACGCTCGGGATCCCGCTCGGGATCCCGCTCGGGGCTGACACGCAAAGGCGTCACTCTTGCGGAAGCCATACAGTTAGCACACGCCAGACCCTCTTGCGCCTCGTTTGGCCGTGTCAGCCAGGGCTCTTTGCATCACGCCTGCCAACCCGCTTCTCTACTGCAATACTGTCTTGACAATTGAATTTGGCTTTGGGATTCACAAACAACGGGCCCCTATAAAAGCCTGGCAACTCCACCCCTGAAGCAATGCTTCTTGCGACTTGAAAGGACACCCGTAGCACACATCAACGACATCATGAAGCTCGCGTTGTCCGAGCGTTGCATCATGTTGCATCCAAACGCAAGCGCATTATCGCAGCGGACAGTTGGGCCCGTGTAAAAGCTTTACCCGCAAGAAAAATCCGAAGCACCGTGCTCTGATTTTACTCTTCAAAGCCCACAAATACGCTCGAAGTTTTGCCGGGGCCGCGCCCGCAAACAGGCTTGGGATCCCGCTCGGGCCGAGCACAGATGCCGCGCAAAGGCGCTGGTAAGGACCAAAGCAACCTCGCTCGGGATCCCGCTCGGGCCAAACCCGCGCCAAGGCGCAGATAAGGACCAACACCGTCACGCTCGAGAGTTTAATGCAACGCGCAGGCGCCTGCAAGGACCAAAGCGGCCAGGCTCGCTAGCCCGCTCGGGATCCCGCTCGGGCCTTGCAAAGGCAAGCGAAGCCACGCTCGGGATCCCGCTCGGGATCCCGCTCGGGGCGAACGCGGATGCCACGCAAAGGCGTCACTCTTGCGGAAGCCATACAGTTAGCACACGCCAGACCCTCTTGCACCTCGCTTGGCCGTGTCAGCCAGGACTCTTCGCATCACGCTTGCCAGCGCGCTTCTCCTACAATATTTGCCGTTTCCTGCAATGGCGTCTTGATAATTGAATTTGGCTTGGGGATTCACAAACAACGAGCCCCTAAAAGCCTGGCAACTGCACCCCTAAAAGCCTGCTTCTCCACCGCGAAAGCAATGCCTCCTGCGACTTGAAAGCGCGCCCGTAGTAAAACGACTGACATTATGAAGAAGCTTGCTTCGTCCGAGTGTGCATCATGTTGCGCGCAAACGCAAACGCATTACCGTCCCGAACTCAAGCTGGGCTAGGACACAGTGTGGAAGCTCTACCCGCGAGAAAAGACAAGTCCATCATCCTGAAAAAACACCGTGCTCTGGTTTTACTCTTGAAAGCCCACAAACACGCTCGAAGCTTTGCCGCGCAGAGGGGCTTGGGATCCTGCTCGGGCCGAGCACAGACGCTGCGCAAAGGCGCTGGTGAGGACCAAAACCAGACACACAGTCGGGATCCCGCTCGGGCCAAACACGTGCGCCGCGCCAAGGCGCAGATAAGGACCACTCGGGCCAACTACTATGGATGCAACTCGCAGGCGGCTGAAAGGACCAAAACGGCCAGGCTCGCTAGCCCGCTCGGGATCCCACTCGGGGCGAGCACGGGTGCCACGCAAAGGCGTCAGACCCTCTTGCCGAAGCATACAGTTAGCACACGCCAGACCCGCTTGCGCCTCCTTTGGCCGTGTCAGCCAGGAGTGTTCGCATCACGCTTGCCAACGCGCTTCTCCTACAGTTTTTTTGCCAAGCAGACTCGCTCGGGATCCCGCTCGGGCCAAGCGCAACAGTCCTGAAAGATCCGCTACCTCGCCACCACCTTGCGACAGCGAGAAGAATCGCCACGCTCGGGAGTCCACTCGGGATGCAACGCGCAGGCGGCTGAAAGGACCAAAACGGCCAGGCTCGCTAGCCAGCTCGGGATCCCGCTCGAACCGGCTACAGCTGCCACGCGAAGGGGCCTTGGCTGGCAAACTTAAAACTTTCAGGATCCCGCTCGGGAGAAACGCGGATGCCACGCACAGGCATGTGCGAACGCAAGCGCAAACGCACTTGGGCTTCCGCTCAGGCTAAGCAAGCTTCAAGAATCCGCTCAGGCTGAACTTGTAAGGCCCAACATACGGCCAAACCTCTGACTTACAGTTAGCACACGCCAGACCCTAGCGCCTTCTCAGCTGGTGTCAGCCAGGACTCTTCGGATCATCACGCTTGCCAATGCGCTCCTCCTAACTACAGTCTTTGCCCTTCACTGAAATGGCAACGCAGCAGTTTTAGTGCGTGGCATGCACCCCCATTATTCGGCGAAGGGCGCGCTTCTCACTTAGGTGCATCCATCGACGCAACTGCGGCACCCCCCCCCCAGGATGTGTCGAAGTAATGATGATTCTGGCATGGCAACAAGCAACAGCACCCTGCGCAACTCTGCAGCACCCTGCGCAGCTCTGAGTCTCGTCCTGCCTTCCTTCCTTCCTTCCTTCCATCCTTCCATCCTTCCTTCCTTCCTTCCTTCCTTCCTTCCTTCCTTCCTTCCTTCCTTCGTTTCCTTCGCTTCCTTTGCTTCCTTCCTTCCTTTGCTTCCTTTGCGTCTTTTGCGTCTTTTGCTTCCTTTGCTTCCTTTGCTTCCTTTGCTTCCCTTGCTTCCCTTGCTTCCCTTGCTTCCTTGCGTCCTCGCGTCCTTGCGTCCTTGCTTCCTTGCTTCCTTGCTTCCTTGCTTCCTTGCTTCCTTGCTTCTTGCTTCCTTGCTTCCTTGCTTCCTTGCTTCCTTGCTTCCTTGCTTCCTTGCTTCCTTGCTTCCTTGCTTCCTTGCTTCCTTGCTTCCTTGCTTCCTTGCTTCCTTGCTTCCTTCCTTGCTTCCTTGCTTCCTTGCTTCCTTGCTTCCTTGCTTCCTTGCTTCCTTGCTTCCTTGCTTCCTTGCTTCCTTCCATCCTTCCGTCCGTCCTTCCTTCCTTCCTTCCTTCCTTTCCTTTGCTTCCTTTGCTTCCTTTGCTTCCTTCGCTTCCGTGCTTCCTTCCGTCCTTCCTTCCAATGCCCATGTAAAGCTATTTTGATGCCAAGCCTTATTTCAAAGACCTTGAACAATCCGACTGCCAGACTAGTTGGAGTGCTAACTGTTGGGCCTCAACCACGGCTTGGGAAAAAAAAACGCTGCGCAAGCGCCCAAACAGTTAGCACTCAACGTTGGAATGCCGTGTGCTAACTGATTGATACCCACTATAAACGGTTAAACTGAAACCCACGTCACTAAATCCACAAAACAAGCTTAAGAGCCAAGTTGCACCGGATGGCTGGTTGAGCCACCAAGCTTCGCGACCCATCCCCAAGCTCGGTCCCCACACTTCGGGACCCACATCGGATCCGCCTACCGGGGGCTGCTGCGGGACCGAAGGGCGCCTGGTGAATCGGACTCTCGGACTCCCGGACGAAGCGGAAGCACAGAAACCCCAACCGCCCGTCAAAAACCGCTGTTCGGCTAAATTTTCAATAGGGAGCCACCTCAAAAGTGATTGGTGGACATGGATCCCCACCTAAATGATGTCCACCAAAGGGTCCCTTGTTGAAATTCACAGAGGGTGCCCCTTTGTTTAGTTGCTTTTTCGGGAAATCCGCCATTTCAGGCCAAGCGCTCCCCAGTTTGAGACACGCATATGGATATGTCAATGGGATTTGGACCCCAACATGATTTGTTTCCTTTTGGTTTCCCTGTCAGCCAACCCCAAAAAGAATGCGCTCACACAGAAACGGGCAGCCATATGTTCAAATTATGTCTCATGCTTTGAAAAAAATGTGTCAAAAAGGTATTAGAGGAACCGAGGCGTGATCATTCCGGGTATGTCGGAAACCCTAGTTCGTGGCTTAATCACAACCTTGAAACGGAAGCCCAATCAAGAAGTACCCTTGTGCTTAACCAGAAAGGTTCAGGACAATTCGCGCTGGCGAAAACTCCGAAACCCTGCAAGGCCAAGCCCTGCAAGGCCAAGCGCCCTAAACGAAATCACTTGCAGAGATATCCCTTGGCGCTGTTGAGAAAAACACAAAGCCCAGTTATCAAAGACGGTTTCCACTATCCCCAGAGAGATTGGGATAGCTACTGGCTTTGTAGTAGCCGTATATCCCATTGAACCTCCGGGGGCAGTGGAAACCACGTTCCAACTTTGGAACACCGCAGCTTCGCCTTTGGAAGTCTCCGGAGCCCGTTGGAGAATCAGCATTCCGCTGAACAACTTTCAACTCATGTTCTCCGTCCCCATTCCAGGGGGCCTTCTCTTGAGAATATGGGCATCTCGGGACTCAAATGCAACCTGCAAAAAGCATCACGTTCTTCCCTTTCTTTGGTTCCTTTTTTGAATCCTCCCCACAAGGTATTGGTTTTTGAGGGTACCCCACGGAAAAACACCCATTGCAACCAGTAACCCAAAAAAGAGAGAAACAAACAAAAAAAAACGAGTATTGGGGAAAAGCGACTTGCCGGGCAAACCCAACAAAAAAGAAGCCAAAGGATGCCACTGAACAGAAAGGGAAACGGTCCACAGGTCAAAGTGAAACGTGCCCTTTCGCAGGGATACTTCTGATCTTGGTTGACGTTGGAAGGGGAGCAAAAAATTGTTTTTGCAGTTAAGTGGTTGGATTTCAACCACTAAACCACAAGAAGCAAAAAAGAAAAATGTTTCCCAACAACAGTCATGCGATGGCTGAAAAGCTCACATTCTGAGCGGACCGGCCAAAAAAAAGGGGGTAACCCTTTTTCCAAACTTGGAACCTTTTTTTCAACCTTAAGCTGTTTTTTTTTCTGACCTTGGCTCCTGTCTTTTTCACCTTGGAAGCTTCTTTTCTAACCCTGGCGGGCGCAAAAGAGAAGCCCAAAGAAAAAGAGGCGGAGGACTCATCATCACCATCATCATCATCATTCATCATCATCATCATCCTCATATCTATTTAATATAAAAGATAAATCTTGAAAGCCTGTCCCTCGAGCATGAGCTGTCCTTGCAGTAACCGTTGCCAGGTGGTATGCCCCCAGTCCTCAATCAGGCTGCAATAAAGCCGCATTTCGAAACGCTTGAGCTTGAGCCCCGTCCTGCACCGTCGATACTCGCAGTCAGCAATACGCACAGAGATGCCAAGCAACTGGTGCAGGGGTGAGCAAGCGATCACAGCCGTGAGTGCCTTACCTCCCACCACATCGTTGCCCTGCGCACAACAAAGGCACTGAAGCTTCCCGCACCCGAGCATAGCCCAAAACCCTTCTGCGTTTCACTTGTGACGGAGTCGCCGGGCTAGGGTGCTGGCTCTGGACACACATAGCCGGCGCCGCCTTGCCGCAGGAATGCTACCGCACACATCAGCTTGACTCGAACGTTCCTGGCTCAACAGCTGAAGCTGAAAGATGGCTTCATAGCCTCTCAGGATCGAAATGCTCCAGTCAATGGTGAAGCCGACACGCCGCCTGCAACTTGTACGCACCATGCATGAGCCGTCGTCCCATATCTCCAAGCTGGTGAAGCGCTTGTCGGCATACAGGACATACTTGCCAGGAAGAATCTCCTCATTGCCCTCCACTCTGCGCAAGCACAACCTTAGAAGGTCAAGACATGGCTGGGTCTGGCTGGGTCGACTGACAGTTTGCCTTTTACACATTCCTGCAGATGTCACACGCACGCGCTTGCCCAGGTGCAGCAGAGTCACTTATGCGAAGGGGAAAAAGCCCTGCGAAAGGAAAGAACCCCGCGAAAACAATGCAACCCCGCGGCAAAAAAAAACAAACTAAAATTGGAAAGAGCTCCGCGAAGGGGAAGCGTGCCCCGCGAAGGGAATGCAGCGGGGAAGAGCCCCGCAAAGGGAATGCAGCGGGAAAGACCTCCGCGAAGGGAATGCAGCCCCGCGAAGGGGAAAGGGCCCTGCGAAGGGGAAGGGCCCCGCAAAGGGAATGCAGCCCCGCGAAGGGGAACGAGCCCTCGGAAGGGGAAGAGCCCCGCGAAGGGAATGCAGCCCCGCGAAGGGGGAAAGACCTCCTCGAAGGGGAAGAGCCCCGCGAAGGGAATGCAGCCCCGCGAAGGGGAACGAGCCCTCGGAAGGGGAAGAGCCCCGCAAAGGGAATGCAGCCCCGCGAAGGGGGAAAGACCTCCTCGAAGGGGAAGAGCCCCGCGAAGGGAATGCAGCCCCGCGAAGGGGAAAGAGCCCTGCAAAGGGGAAGACCTCTGCGAAGGGAATGCGGCCCCGCGAGGGGGAAAGAGCCCCGCAAAGGGCATAGAGCCCTGCGAAGGGGATAGAGCCCTGCGAAAGGGGGTAGCTTCCTGGCTGAAAAGGAATCCCGTGCAGGGGATGAGACTTGCGAAGAGGAAAAAGGTGCAGGGGAGGGGGGGGGGGGTGACGGGCCATGCCCCGTCGAGGGGATGGGAAGGTTCCAAAAGAAGGAATCAAGGTGGAAAACAAAGGTGGGAAGGTTGGAACAAATGCAATCAAGGTTGCTTCAGAGAAAAAACAAGGTGAACAAAAAGTGTGGCAAGGTTGAAAAAGCATGAAGTGCCGACCCTGAAATTGAAAAAGAAGGGGATAAGGTAGAAAAAAAAGCTTAAGGTTGAAAACAAAGGGTCCAAGGTTGAAACAAAGGCATGCCCAAAAAAAGGAACCTTTCACTTTTTATTTACCGCTAAAGTGGTCGCGCCAAAGAGCGTAAAGTTCAGGAACTCGGGAAGTGAGAACGAGCAAGAACCCTGCGCGGCATTGATCTGCTTTGGAGGGCCCCGAATCCACCTAGGCCCTACGCGCTTCTGAGTCACTGTAACGGTGGGGATCTGGGTAGTCGGGCCTTAGTAGTGCGTTGAAGCGTTAAACCTGGCGCGAAATACTTCCGTCTCAGCACGGGCCTTGATTCGAGTTTGTGTAGAAGCGAATGGCGCACTATGGAGCGCTGCAGAAAAACTGACGAGTGTAACGATCTGTCTGGCCTCGACGCTGGGAACCTGACGAGTGTAACGAGTTGTTCTGGCCTCGACGCTGGGAAACTGACGCGACAGCGCACTTGCGAATCGTATAGTCTTGTCAACAGCCAAGGCACGCCACTGGCTCGCAAGGTAGGCCCAATGTATCGTGCCAATTCTGCTCCAGAAAATCGGGTGGAGCCCACCGAGCAACTGAGGCAACCTCATGTTAACTCTCTGGACAACCACAAGCCCGGGAAAACAGCTGCCAGCTTTGAGAAGAGAGCCATGGAAAAAGGAACGCCGAAATCGTCGGTTCCTTTCCTGGTGTCTTTTTTTGAGGTTGGACCTCCCAAAACATTAAACCCGCCCCAAAAAAAGGGATACCAACTCGCACGAAGACCATCCCGGTCGAGTTTTCGAGAAAAAGAAGAAGAAGAAAAACAAAATTCCCGTTCGAGTTTTCGAGAACAAAAAAAAAGAAGCACAAACACAAAACACCAAGACCGTCCCGTTCGAGTTTTCGAGAACAAACAAAAGAAGAACAAAAACAAAAAACAAAAAACAACGGGGAAAAACAGAGAACAAAAACAAAACAACACAAACAGCACAAACGCACCCCTCCGAGCTTGGCCGCCCGCCCCGCCTGACCGGGCAGCGCCTGCATCGCGTAAGCCGCGGCCGAGCCGCCTGCGAGCTGAGGCTCGGGCGAGCCGGGGGCCGAGGGCCCCAGAGGGTACCTTCTAAGGAGGTACTTCGCTTGGTTGCTCTGGAAAAAGTTATTAACTTTTGGTGGGCTTGGCGGAAAACCCAACTTGATTTCCCGAAAAGTTAGAGTCTAAAGACCCCTTGTTACCCAAAAGCCGTCCTCATGAGGTAGTTAGACCCTTTCTCACCCCGGAGAAGCCATGAGGTACCAACAAACCCTCTGGGCGTTGCTGATCCCCCCAGCTTTTGATTCTCGCGCGTGAGACGCACCAAGCCCGCAAGAAGCCTCGCGTCGCTTGCCGATAGTGTTCTGTTCTCCCACCAATTCTTGGTTGACGCTCGGTTAGGGGAGCAAACATTTAAACATCTTGGCTTTTCAGTGGTTGGATTTCAACCACTGAACCACAAGAAGCAAACATGGGCAAAATGTGTCCCAACAACAACCAAGCAATTGCCCTGAGGTTCTTAAACCCACCATTGAAACACCCCGAGGTTCAAAGCACCATTGAAACACTCTGAGGTTCTTAAACCCACCATTGAAACAATGAAAATCTGACCACTGTTGTTTACGGATTGTCGTCATCCAAATTGGGTCCCAAGGCCATTCTTTTACTCGGGGTGACCCCAGGGATGAACATGGAACCTGACGTTCGGGAAAAAATATATAGCCCTTGAAAAGGAGACTAGCCATCCTCCTCAGATCCCCCTTTGGCTTGTGAGGGGCTCCAATCCTCATCGAGCGAAAGGGGCCTTGCGTCGCGGATTTTCGAGGTTCTCAACCTCACAGCCTGAATGACTTGCTGGTGCCAGGGAATAAGAATTGGAAGGACCCCGAGATAAGCCATCCCCGACTTGGTGTCCTTTCTTCGGGAATCATTCCATTTCTCATCCCAAGCAAAATGACAGACCCGGCTTGACAAGGAGGTCCAAAATGAATACGTGGGCCCCTGGTGCGGACGCTCGATGGGAATCAGCCACCGCCCCAAAATGGATTCCGTCGGGCTCGGCGCCTGTCTTTTTTCGGCGATCCACAAAATGGGTCTTGGTCCTTTTGGATCTCCTTTTAGCACACAAAAAAAGGGGTGCCCTCAACAAAGGAACACACCCACATGAGGCCAGGCTGCAGTACGCCAGTAGGTCCTCCACTAGGGCGGTTAGAATAAGGGTACCAGAGTTTGTTCTGTAGTCTATTTCAGTAGGGGAACCAAATCTCCCAACCAAAAAGGGGAGAGAAGGGCACTACTCAGGGACCTAGAAGGCCTCCAAAACCTGCAGGGAAACAAAAAGGGAGCGCCAACAATTTGGTTCTTAGTATTCTCGACATGCTGGACCGGACCTACTGGACTGCTCTGGGAAGTTGCCATGATCATGCTTTGCGCGCCCCTCCGCTGCCCTCAAAGTGCCTTGGCTCACACCTGGTGTTTGTATAATTAATGAAGAATTACCAATGAAATGAGTCCATAATCAAAAGCCCGGTAGTAAAATGGTCTACCCAGAACCATGTGTCAAAACTCAGCTTATACCAAATGGGTGTGCCGAAAAAATAGTCTTGTATACCGATGAAGAACTACCAATAAAATTGGTTTGTCTCGAAACTGTATGTTTATGGGCATGTGTCAAAATCCGGGCTTGGCATTGGCAAACTGGTCTTCCAGTTGATCTCCCTTGAAACCATGTCCATTCCGTCCAGGGATTAGGAAACCAGCAAACACCTAAGGGAAACAGCCGGTTTTGAAAAGAACGGTTGGGGAAAATACAGGGGGATCACACCCTCTGGATCTACTGCTGCTCAAGAAGCCCACTGTTTGTTTTGCTTGTTTGACAGAAGGGATGCGCAACTCGAGGAATCCACCCAGAAGCAGTATGCATGAGAAGCGTTGCAAGGCTCCTAGGGTCCCTCCCTTACGCATCTGGGTGTGGCTCAAAAGCAGCAGTCGGCCCAAAATGGATCTTCTTGTAAATGGAGAAGCAGACTGGGACCTACGGTTTCCTGGCGCTGATTTTTTTTGAGGCCACGATCATCTGATGCACTGTGACCCCCAAGTACGTTCAGCAAGGGACCTGTAGGGCATAACTTTCGATGTGGTTTTGGAGGCAAAGTGACACACATACCCACTCTACGGTTTTTTGTCCTGCCCCAGTCACCTAACTGGGCCGGACTTGGTTGACAAGGAACATGGCGGAACATAGAAAAGGATCATTCAACAGGCAAGGTCCGTGTGGCAATCAGAAGGTCTCGTATCTGCCCACCTCCTGTAGGATATGCAGCGTTCGCTCCGCTCGGCAGCGGTGAAGCCTCAAGGCTTGAGTCGTGTTGACACTGGTTTCCGCAACAGAGAGGTGGCACTCTCAGAGGCTCTCAAAATCAGGGCTGTGGGAAATGGAACCCACTTCTGTGATACAACAAAAGGGTCTCCCAAAGACCACCCCCATTTAAACAGTGGATTCAACCTTGTATCACAGAAGTGGGGATAAACCCCTTGATCCCACAACCCTGCTCAAAATGGGTCTGAATACCCTTCGGTGGCATTTATGCTTCATTCATAGCCCCACAACCAGTTCCCTATCAGACTTCCTGGATTCCTAACTCACTTGCGGCTCGCGGCTTCCCTTTTAGCCATGTACTAAGGCCTGAACAGTTCGAATGGCGCGGTGCGGTGCCATAAAACCAAATGAATCATGACCATGCAAAACAAATACTACTGTAACTATTCAGACCGACGTCGCTTCACGGAACCTGACGGAAGACCGTGTTCCTCACGGTGCACTTTGGTGGCGTTCATGTAGCTCGGTAATCTTCTGGATCTGTATGACTTCGTCAAACAGGCCAAGGATCCGCAGCACAGAGGCCAGGGCGTACATCTGCGCCTTGAAACAACTTCCCTCTCAGCAGATCTTCACGCACGCCCAAAGTCATCATTGGCTCCTCTCCTCTTTGAATCAGAGAAAAGGCGGTCACCTGGTGACCATCGGGCCTCCTGGTAGGTGTGCTGCCAGCATACATGTGCTTAAGTATTTTGGAGACTACACCAGCCAACAACAACTGCTGTTAATGTCCAAAATCACAAAAGCTGTCCAAAAAGTATTTGGGGGGGTACTGGTGTCTACCCATTTTCTACCCTTGGGGTATGGTCATGTTAGGCTGACATCATAGTGTTGCCTCAAAAGAACAGCATCCGGACTTGGTTGAACTCAGCGACCCTGGCTGGCACATGAAACCCGCGCCCCCAAACAGTACGGGCACAGCCAAGTGTCTGAATCAAAGTTTGAGTCTGTTTCCATTGGACGGGGAGCGAACTCAATGGTCCCGGTCAAAAACGCCTCGAGTTCGGTGGGCAAAAAAGGCCTTTTGGTACCCAGAGATTGATGTGAATGGACCTCCAGGGCGGTTTGCGGGGCGGCGGGGGGGCAGGGGGTTGGGGAGCCTATCCCATGATAAGCTGAAGCCAAGGATAAGCCCTGAAGGCTATACTAGGTCCTCCAGTAGAGAGGTTAGAATAAAGGTGCCCTTTTTTCTGTAGTTGACTTTAGTAGGAGAGGGTTTCGGGTAAAAGGGCACTAGTGGGAGACCTAGTATATAAGGGTTTTGAGGGATAGCCGCGCTCGTCAAGAAATACGTCCCGCCCGACAGGGCCCGCAAGCCCCAAAGACCCCAACGGCTAAGGGGCCAACAAGCTCGCTCGGTTCTTTGGGGGGTGGGCGGTAGGCTCCTTGGAACAGTCAAGGCATCAGGCCATACTCCCCTGCAAACTACCATGAAACCCTGAAGACGTATCCATCGTTCGAAAAAATAAATAAATAAAAATGTTGGTGGCTAATTTGCAGGGTTCAATGCTTCCAGGCAAAACATGCGATGACCCCCTGATCAACAGTTTCGGGCCAACCTTCCTCTGCACGATTAAACCACCCTTGTTTAAACGATCTTTGTCTTTCCCCAAAAGAGAGCCCCAGTTTTCGTCTTTGAAGTGGTTGCCCCTGAATTCTGAAGGGAACAACAGGCTTGAAATGCGACCAACGCCCGGTGCGCCCAAATGGCAGTGGGTCAAAAATACGTGCCCAAAATGGCTTGCCCTGGTAAATGGAAACATGGACTAAAACCTGCGGTCCAATTCTTGGCGGATTCATTTTGACCCATACCCAGATCAGCTCGCGTCGGGGTCCCGCGCGTAGTTGTGAAAACATTGCGAGGAGACGTGCATGGTCACCGATCTCGCAGCCTTGGCAAAGCTTCGAATTTCAAATTCCGCCCTGACCCCGACCATAATGTTCCCTCAGCTCTTGGTTGCTGTTGACCCCTCTGCAAAAGGTTTAACTGTTTGTGAGTTTAATGGAAAACCCCTTGTTTTCTCAAAAAGTTAAAAGTCTAAAGATCCAACCCAATGGCAGTAGAGAGCTGTTGCTTTTCCAGCAGCATATGCCCTTTCTTCGCCGGCGGTCGTGCTTTGGTTCTGAAGAACGATGGAAATGAGGAACGGCTTGGCGATAAATGACCTTCTAAATTATTGCTGGTTCGATAGGCAGGGAATGAGGAATGGAATGGCTTCGAGAAAATACCATCCCCTATCCCCAGTTTCAATCCCAAAACCCTGATTCATTCCTTACTGAGCACCAGCAAGTAAATGGAGCTTGTTGGATAAATACCAATGTGGCCGACTCTGGGCTAGCCCTCCAATTGGGGCTTATAAAGCTTCTAAATTCTAGGGTTTGATTCCCCATTCTTTCCAACCAGCGTTCTTTTCAAAAACCGGCCGTTTCCCCGGGGTGTATTGAGTTTTTCCCAGAAAGAAGGATCTCTGCAAAGAATGGGGAAGGTACCCCTAGATAAATGGGCATTGCTGCGTGAACCCCATGCATAACCAAACGGGCGCATCCAAAGAAGTCCTGTGGACAAATGAAACACTGCTGCTAGAATGGATGTAACCCTATGCAGGCAAAGGCACACTTCCCAGGGCCTGAAAAAACATGGTTTCACACCTGGAGATACAGTTCCCCAGGGAAGCAAAATACACCTTAAGGGTCTGGTTTCACACCTAGACTTCAATAAGACCGGAGAGAAACCAAAGAAACGCAAAGTCATGGGGAAGTATTCGAACACAAATGCAGCACTGGCACTCTTGTGCCACGTCATCGGAGACACCTTCGTCTGTCCAACCCTGCAAAACGCGCTCTTCGACCTCCCATGCTCCTTTTGGGTAGGCGCCAAAACTTTGAGGTGGAGCTCGGACAAGAAGAGTCCCCCAGGATTAAGCCTTTCAAGGGGATCCGGAAGTCATTAGGCATGTGTCGCTTTGTCGAGGTTGCTTTGAGGGAAACCAAAATTTGGACACCAACAATCACTTCCTGAGATGGGCCAAGAGAAGTTCAACAGCTTGTTTACCAACTCGTCTTCCCAAAACAGTAACTCACGCCCGAAACGGAACTCGGGAAGGGAGCTTAGGTCTTCAAGCGCAAGCCTCAGAAGCAAAGCAAATCACCCACCGGGGGGTCCCCATTTTGAAACAAGCCCAGAAGGACTCCTACAAGCTGGATCCTCCAGATTGAGGTTAGACTCAGGGTACCAACTTTCCTCTGTAGTCTATTTTAGTAGGGGAACCCTCCCCCAAGAAAGGGGAGAGAAGGGCACGATCCTGGGGGACCTAGTAGGGAAACCCCCAAGAAACGGACACCAACGGCGCCACGTCTGATGTTTCAAGCGACTCCGATTCCGAGCAGAGCACACGTCCATGCCAGCGAGCCAGGTGTCAGCGGTGTCAGCTGTCCTTGGCGCGCGCTTCACTTCCAGCTGCCCTCACTTCCGAGGGAGTGGATTGGCCAAGAGTCCAAACTGTTTATTTCCCATTCACCCTCCCAGGGTAACATGGTGCAAAAAGACCCAACAAAGACGAGACTTTCCTCTTGGACATTTCGCCCAAATGTGCACTTCCATTGTTAGTTGGCGGGGTCGGCGTTTTCCCACAAAAAGTTCGAAGTCCATGAACTCAGGGAGTGAGTTCCCTCCCGTCTCACTTGACCTTTAAGAGCCCAAGATCTTTTTGGGGCGATGGCTGAAAAAAAAATAGAAACAGGGGAAACTCTTCTGGACAAGTGAATAGATGTGATTTGGCTTGTTGTTTGGAAGTACCTTCCCTGTTTGCCTTCAAAAGAAACTGGCGTTCAAATCCCCAAACCAATCTAAACTACCAATTGCCTAAGTCTGTGGGCCAGCAAACACAGAACATACTCTGACTTTACGTAGCTGAAAAGCCGCCGAAGTTGTTTGGCAGAATCTGCGTTTGTTGAACCACGTTGAGATCCTTTAAAGGGGCATGTAAACTCGGCAGGGGAGTATCTCACATGAGCACTTGAAACTTCACTTGCTCTCTGGTTCTACTACCCCTCTTCATGGAACCTGGGCGGATGTAGACCCGTTTCTGCAAAGTTGATGCCCAAGGTCCAAGTTTGGTACCTGTAGCCGGGGGAACTTTATTTCGCCCTAAGTCACCGAAATAGTGTAGTGGAATGCGATCAATCGGTTTGCCAGCGCGAGTGCCTCATGATGTTCGAGGGAAGCCCGCTCAAGAAAGTTATTAACCCAAGGAGCATCGATGTCCTTGTGGTAAACTAGATGGCCCTGGCAAATGGAATAAAACTGTCTAAACCCCAAGGAGTTTCAACAGCTTTGGCCAAGCTCAACTCCCGAGCTGTCTTCGACACTTCGCCGGAATCGTCCCGGAACACGCCGCAGGCAGCCCGCAACCCAACATCGGCAGCGTGACCCCATAGCAGTTGCTGTTGTTGCAAAATAAGAACCAACCAAATGAAACTCCTTCCGCTGTACAGCTGTGAAATGTGACGGACTTCTTCCTTGTTGTTCAAGGGAAGCCAACTCAAAAAAGAAGAAGAGGAAGAACGGGTCTGGGTGATCAAAGTCAACCGTGGTGGTCAAAACACCTGTGCAAGACAGGAACGAGCTGCTTTCGGTGAATTATAATCTGTATGCTATATATATATATAATACATGACATCATATATATATATATATATATATATGGTCCCGTGTTCCGTGTACCCCCCCCCCCCACCCCCCCAATATGGTATGGGTCCCCCAGGACCCCCCCCCCCCCCCCGGCCCGCCCGAGACCCCGAGCCCCCGGATCCTGTCACCTACGGTCCCACCCCCACCCCGACCCCCTGAACTCCCACCCCCAGGACAAGCCAACCCGCAACCAACCATAAACCAACCCTAAACTAACCCTAAACGAACCCTAAATACACCCTAAACCCAACCCTAAACCGTAGACCTCTAAACCTAAACCAACCCTAAACCAACCCCAAATGCACCCTAAACCAACCCTAAACTAAACCTAAACCAACCCAAAACTAACCCCAAATGCACCCTACACCAATTCTAAACCAACCCTAAGCCACCACAACCCAACCACAGGACCACATGTCACCGGGGGGGGTACTTGTCTGACCCTCTGACCGTCTGACCATTGGGTTGGTGGCTGGATCCCTCGCCAAAAGCCCCCGACAGCTAGGCTAAGCCTCGGCTGAGAGGTCTGGGGGGCGCAAGGGGCCGAGGTCTTAGGGACCCCTTCCTTTTAGGCAGCCCCATGGCGGTGGGCCAAAAAATAGGTCCTTAGGTGCCCCAAATGGCGCACGCCCGATCGGTAAGTGGAAGCATGGACCATAGGGTAGCCCCCAAATGGCGCAAGCCCGATCGGTAAGTGGAAGCATGGACCAAGACCGGCGGTCTTTTGGCGGGTTAATTTTGACCCATACCCAATTCAGTGCCAGAGCCGAAGACGGGTTTTGGGGCGTAAAAAGGGGTCGTTCAGTACAGCCTTGGAAGGTGCCGTCTGCGACCCGGATGGGTGTGCTACTTAACTTTACAATGGCAGGTTCGTCAACCGAAGTGCAGGCCCGGGCAAGTGGGTTCTAGACCGAGAGATCTCCCAGCAACAAGTTGTTTTATGGTTAAAAGGAGATATGAGGTATCCAAAAAGTTAAAGTCTAAAGATCCAACCCAATAGCAGTAGAGTAGAAAAGGTCTTGTCACTATCTGGAGTCCGCATGACCCTGAAAACATGGGAGGGGTCAGATCCCCAGAATCAAGGGTGGATGACCCCATTGCCTCAGGCTGCTGAAGACACCACATACCGCTTTAGCACCTAGGTCCTCCAGTACAGAGGTTAGAATAAGTTGGTACCCTATTGTTTTCTGTAGTCTATTTTGGTAGCGGAACCCTCCAAACCAACCAAGGGTTTAAAAAAAGAAGGGGCGCCTAGCTGGAAAACCTAGGCACCAAGTTCCAATCCCCTGGGCAGATCCGCAGCCAAGGCCATGCTGACCGGCGAGTCAGTCTGAGCTTCTGGCACCCACGCATGGTGCGGCCGGCGACGAATGACACAGCCTATGCCAAAAACGTTTTCCGAGCCCGCCGGCGGCGCGGATTTGCGAGTCCTGGGCCATGCAAGACGCGAGCGGGGGAAGAAGAAAAAAAAAAGCGGGGGGGGAGGGGGGGGCGGGGGAAGGGGGGGGGAACGAGAAGAAAGAGAAAAGAAGAAAACAAACGAGGCATGCAGGGGCCAAAGGATTGGTACACCATTTGAGAGAGCGCGAAATTGTTTTTTGGGATATGGACCCGCAACATGGTGGCAGTCCTTTTGGTTTCCATTTAACATCAACCAAGAAGGGGTGCCATGATTAGAGTTAGGCCCAGTTATAGAATGTATACTTTTTTTGTTTCTTCAATTTGAGTCGCTGGTAAAAACTAAAATGTATCCTAAGTCTACTCCAGGTGCGGGGATCCCTGCAGGCCTCGCAAAAACCCTGGCTGCAGGACATGACACCCGGCCGAACCATGGCCCTCGCTCTTTTCCGCTTTTCCTCCGCTTCTACTCAGGCACCATTTCGCGGCGATTCGGACGAGGGCGACGAGGTTGCCACGGTGCAAATTGTCTTTGGCGGACATCATAGAAAAACACATCGGGAATATTGAAAAAACCAACCAGCAGTTGCTTGCTCTCTCTGACCAGGCGGCCGGGAGTTTGGGTGCCCTCTGACCGAGTCACCGAAAGCTGAAACGCGGCAATCGAGAGACCAGTCTCGGCTTCGGGATCCGATCCCTATCGGTACGTGTGGGAAATAACCAGGTGATACCAACATGGGCCATTCCAATGACTACGAAAATCACGTCCAAGGGGTTCGCTTGGTAGAGAAATTGGTCCTACCAAGCTTTCCGCATGGGTAAATCATGCAAAATGCAACATGTCACCCGATATCACTACTAATACTTTAAGAAGGGTGTACAAAAGCCTGGATGCAATGTTCGGCATTTACATGTTCTTGTTCGCTGATGCCTCCCCTGATTGAGCAGGAACCACTCATCAACCAGAGATGTTTGATCTTGTGTTGTTCAACGTTCAACGTTAAAGCAAATATTCCATGTGTATATACAATTTGTTGTTTCCATATTAACACATATATATATATATATACAATATATATTATATGTGTTTGTCTACTTCTTGATTTACCTGTATAGTTTTCCTCCACCCTGGGTAGTTCTGGTACAGGGCAACTCACTTCCGGAGTGGATTCGCCAAACCATGTCCAGTTTTTGGCTTACCGCTAAACTGGCAACCAAAAAAACAAAAAGCGACTAAAGTCCATGAACTCGGGGACTTCGCCAAACAATGCCATTTTTTTGCTTACCACTAAAATGGCAACCAAGCCCAAAAAAGCTTGGGACTGAGGCCACCAAGCGTTGCTCCCCATGCGCAGCCTTGCCCTCGATCTCTCGATCTCACGAACTCAGTTCTTCCAGCCGGCCAACTTCGCCGCGGGCTTATAGTGGTGTCTCACCTCGGGCGAAATGCGCCGCGCGTGGCTTGCGTTTGGTTGCCAAGGGCCCAGGGGTCACTGGAAAAAAGCACCATTTGAGCTGGGCGGGCTGTGAGTTTTCCAACCTGCTATGTGGGTCGACCCAACCACTAAACCAACTAAGAGCTAAACAGCTAAGAGACCAGATGGCTGAGCATTGCCGGTTGCCACGTTGGAAAAACCATGTCCCCTCTGTCCGTTTTCAGATCCCCTGCTAAAAGTGACTAACTTGTGGGTTGAAGACAGAAGCCCGGAAAACAAAAAAACAAACTTGAGCTGGGCGGGCTGTGAGTTTTCAGACCTAAGAGTGACGAACTTGTGGGTGAACCCAACCACTGAACCAACTAAAAAGCTAAAAAGCTAAGTGGCCGGATGGCTTTTGAGCCACCAAGTGAACAGTTGATCAATTTACAGGGATCCTTACATTATACACCTGAACATTGCCTTGTCAATGGTAATTTCCCCTAAAAAACAGTGCTTCAAATGGGCAAAATGTATCTTTTAAGGAGCCCTGATTTACCGGCTGCCATTGAACATGTCACTGAGGTCAAGGCGGGGAAGTTCAGAGCTGCCAACTGAGACCCATTACCCTCCCATCCACCAGCATGGAACCTGCCGCTTCTTGAAACGATCGATCTGCTTTTGGAGGTGCCAAAACGGGACTCGGATCTCGGAAACCCTGACAAAAAAAAGAAGAAAAAAAGCAAAGGGGTTTGGGCCGGCAGAAAGCCAGTGGTCTTCTCCGTGCTGAATCATGCCAGTCTCACAATCAAAAGGAACGGAGGTTCTTTTGAGGTGCAGCTTGGGCCGGCAGAAAACGAGTCTGGGTCACGTGTGCATTCTCAGGTGGACGCCGTGAGGGGGGGGTGTGGGATTTAGGGGTCGTTGGTTTCCCTTTGCACATCGAGGGTACCATCTCTTCAAGCTTGGATTGAAGGAAAATCGTCAGGAAAACTACCATGTGGGGGGTCCCCCAGTTTGACGCACTCTCAAATTATTTGGACATGGGTCAGAACCTATGCCTCCATTTTGGGGCGGATGAACACCCATGTACCACCTATTTTGATGTTCACAAGGGGAACCAGGGTTTTGACCCACAGCCATTTGTCTAAGGAAACCTTGTGTCCTGGGTAACCTCTTTGAGTTAGTTTAAAGAAAAATCATCGGGAACACTACTATTTGGGGGGCATCCCCTATTTTGACACACTCTCTCCTAGCTCCTCCAGTAGAGAGGTTAGAATAAGGGTACCCTTTTTTCTGTAGTCTATTTTAGTAGGGAAACCCTCCCGCAAAAAAGGGGAGAGAAAGGGCACTACTGGGGGACCTAGTCTCTAAGGAACCCCTGTGTCCTGGGTTTGACATTGGGCACAGCTTGCCATGCCAAAAGGCGAATCTCGCCGTTAGAATTTTCGGACCCGGAGAAAAACCACTGGCCAGTCCATGTTCGGACTGCGGGCCGCAACATGCCTGCCAACTGCTAGCATCATGCAAATGCAACAAATAAGATCATGGGTTGTGAGCCTCACTGGCAACTCAGCCTTTCCAAACCTTCCTTTTTCTTTAAGTGCGACTTGCGGAAGAGCTGTTGAGGGTGCTGAAACGGAATCCTTTCTAAGCTAGAAGCTAGTACAGTTGAAGCATGAGACTGCCACATGTTAAGTTGTTCGCCCCCAGAGGCCATTGGAAACCCGAGAACTTGTTTTGTGAACAAAACACATGCGATGCCCCCCTGCATCCTCTTCCGAAGCCCTGAGTCACGTCGCGCCGCCTTTTGACAACGTCAGAGGTAGCTGAGGCTCGCGGCATGCTTCACGAACCACTTCGCAACCGCTGTAGCGTACTCCTGCGGCACTGAGCGAGGTGCTCCGAAGACGGCACAAGGTAAGACAGTTGGCACACTGGAAAAGGAGCACATGAGTCATAATCAAAACCGGCTATCAACATGGTCGATCTCCAGGACCATGAAAATAATTAAGGATATCCGCAGCTATTTATGGTTGGGAGTATCCCGTACTAACGTTCATCTACCGGGGGTTTTGGTTGTGGCTCACACGAGTCGACCCAACCGAAAAGTCGCGCCCAAAATGCCCCTAGCATCCACCTACTGTGGATGGACGAAATCCTGCACCACCTAAGAAACCCTGGAATGATCGTTCCCCTGTAAATACCAAAAAACAATGGTTTCCCATGAGTTCCAAGCGGTGCGAAATGGATTTCGTCCATCCACAGTATGTTTGGTTCCCTTCCGATCTTTTCCCGGACCCGTGGAGTTTTCAGCTTTCCCTTCAAATCCACCCGAGTGGGTGCCAGTGTTCCCCGGCTCTTTTTGAATGGATTTGGGAGACAGGCACAGACATCGACTCGATGGGGGTGGTTTGGGGCAGCTTTCAGAGTTGCAGCGGGTTCCAAGGCTGTTGTCTCTCTCTCTCTCTCTCTCGGATGCAGAGCGACTCCGCGCGAGGCTAAGAAGCATGCAAAACGAAACAAAGGCACTTCAGAGGAAACCATGCTGTACATCGACTTCCTCCAAAACTTAAGCATCGCCGTTCCGAGGCTGTTGAGGATACCACCTGGCTTCTTCTTCCCCGGCGCTTTGGTCAGTTTGAGGTTCGGAGCTGCGTGCAATGCTCGGATCGAGAAAGGGATCGTCAGGCAGCTCAGCAAAGAACCACCACAAAGACTAACAAGCAATATTGCAACCAACCAGCAAGCCAACCAACCAACACACAAAGCAACCAAACCAACTCCCCCAACCAAACCACCAACCAGGAGCCAACCCACCAGCCAGCCAACCAAACAAGCAAACAATCAATCGCACATATCCACCCTTCAACTCACTTGCTGAGTGGATGGCCAAAAAAAAGTCCAAACTTTTTATTTACCACTAAAATGGTCTTCCCAAAAAGTTTAAAGTTCATGAACTCAGGAAGTGAGTCATCTTGGCAGCAAAGTTTTGTCCCGTAAAACTGCCGGCAAAGTTGGGCAAACGGTATCAAGGGCGCGAATGGCGCGATGGACGTGCGGGTCTTTGGAGCCGTGGATAGCGCTAAATCGGGAGCCTAGAACAGAGTCAGCCACAGCTGCTTCCGGTTTGTTCGGCCAAAACCAGGAAGTGTGCCTAGGTCCTCCAGATTTGAGAGGTTAGAATAAGTTGGTAGCCCAGTTGCTGTTTTCCCCGGTAGTCTATTTTAGTAGGGGAACCCTCCCGCAAACAAGGGGAGAGAAAGGGCACTACTGGGGGACGTGCAACCTAGCATCCAGCATGTGCAACCCGAAGGTGGAAGGTGCCAACACAAACTAGACTGCTGATCTTGAACAACAGAAGAAAAACGCCAAGCAGAGTCCTTTTCCCCGCCTTCCCCAGGAAGGATGCCAGCTCTGTCTCGACCTGCGTTCAGACCCAAAGCGCGAGACCACCCTTGTTCATGGCGCTTAAACATAAGGGGCCCCTGATGGCATGGATCAGGTTCAGGTGCCGCGACTGTAGAAAAAAGTGTCTTTGGGAAAGAGAAGCGGGGACCATCACCAAGTGAGTCATAATCAAAACCCTGTATAAAAATGGTCGACCCAGAACCATGCTTCAAGAATTAAGAAGCCGGATCTCCGCAGCTATTTATGGGATTGTCCCTTAGTAACCGGATCATCCACCCGAATCGGTTTCGAGCAGGTGGCTCAAGTGCCTCCTTCTCAAAACCTCGCCCCATCCCAAATCACGAAGGCCTTCACAACGAAACTCGAGTCATGCACTGGGGCCCGAGATCGCTATGTGGGGTACTACACCGTAATTCATTTGCACCTGTTGGGGGCAAGGTCCAAAAGTCTCTCACCCCAGGCTAAAAGGGGAATCCCTACTCCTCCGCGGGCCAATGCAAGGGATGCCATCATCTGGCAGATTCAGGATTGGCTTTGAACAGCTCAGCCAAGAGAAGCAAGCAAGCAAGCAAGCAAGCGAGAGCGCGAGAGAGCAAGCAAGCAAGCAAGCAAGCAAGCAAGCAAGCAAGCAAGCAAGCAAGCAAGCAAGCAAGCAAGCAAGCAAGCAAGCAAGCAAGCAAGCAAGAAAGCAAGAAAGAAAGCAAGCAAGAAAGCAAGCAAGCGAGCGTGCAAGCAAGGAAGCGAGAGAGCGAGCAAGCAAGCAAGAAAGCAAGCAAGCAGGTCTTTGACTATGGCACATGTAAGCGTCACTGAAGCATACTCCGACAAACTAAGGGTCCGATTCAACAAGGGTTTCAGCCGGGGTTAAGAACCAAAACATGTCTTGCACGGGGCTAAAATAGCAACTGAAAGTGAAGTGTGTCCTTTTGGCCCCTGTGCGCTTTAGAAGGTGTCAAATCACGGTGCAATCCGCCAGAGCTGGACGAGACGTGGAGGGGAGCGTATCTGGGCACATGGTAAGAATCCAACGACCTGAGCTGCTGGAATTGACTCGCTGGGATGGGGTTCCCTATGATACTATGTTCGAAAACCAGGTTGTGAAAAAACTTGCCCCTGTAAAGTTCGGAAGGCATGTCATCAGGCAATATGGGCACACAACAAGCTTGACACCGACTCTTACCCCTCTCTCTCAGAGTTCTTACATGATCCTCACACCCCTTGGTTCCCACAAAAAAACAAACACACATGCAACAAGGGTAGCCGTGAACCCTTTTTTGCAGATATGACCCGTCATATATCTGTCTGACACTTCAAACAGCAGACCAGCGTAGGCCAACTCCCTGTTCAAGCACGTAGTAAACTATTGTTCAATCACCTGACATGTTGTTCTTAATTTTGCCATAGGTTCGCAGATTGTCGTTGCCTCCCCGCAACTCTCTCTGAGTTGCCCATAGTGACTCTAGCACAAGAATTAGAACCAACTCTGTTTTGCGCATTCCGTGGGCCCTCAAGCCAAGCAGCTTGAAAGCTTGGAGGTTTCTAAAAGAGCCTCTTTACAATGCGGATTGAACTTCCTTTGCTCGAGCGAGTGAATCGGCCAAACAAAGCCCAAACTATTGGTTTGCCACAAACATAGTTCAAACCCAAGAAGTGACTAAAGTCCGAAAAGGAACTCAGGAAGTGAGCTTGGTGTCCAAAAAACCCAACCAAAACTGGGCATGTCCGTCTCAGATCCCCTGATAAAAGTGACTAACTTTTAGTGCGTTAAATGGAACCCCCCACTAAACCAACTAAAAACAACACAACAACTAAGGAACCAAATGGCTGGTTGAACAGGCAAGGAAAGCAATGTTAGACCCATCCCTGTTATTGAGCTCAAAACCTGGTATTCTTTTCAAATGGCATACCCACAACCATGCTTCAGGAATCAAAAAGGCGGCAAAGGCACCCCTCTATCATTCGGAGAATCCATATCCCTTACTGACCAAACCTAAAAAAAAAGCTACTTCTAGTGTGTCAAATGGAAACCCAACCACTAAACTAAAATCAACCGAACACCCCCTTGAGTTGAACCGGAGGATTCGCTGCTTGAACCGCCCCAGGAAAAAAAAAACTTCTTCGCAGGAGACGAGCCCGAGCCCAGCTCCCACCGGCCGCCGCGGGCCCGCCCGCCGCGCCGGCCGCGGGCCAACACCGCGCCTCGGTGGGCACCTTCCGTGCCACCAGCATGCACACGGTGAACTCCGAGAGCATGTCGCAGGTCGACTGGTCGCTGGGCCTGGGAGTCCAGGGATTCGAAATCCCAGCTTTCACGCGGTTTTGTGGGAGTCCCAAATAGGTCCTCCAGATTTCAGAGGTGAGAAGAAGTTGGTACTCAACCGATTTTTTGTTTTTTTTCGGAATGTCTATCTTGGTAGGGGAACCGAATCTCCCAACCAAAAAAGTTGGGTGAGAAAGGGCACTTAGCTGGGGGACCTAGGATTTGTTTGCGATTCCGCCGCGCGACAAGGTCAAGGGGCTGGTGAGAGAGATGCAGGGAACGAGAATTGGAATAACCCCGAGAGAATCCATCCCCGATTTGGCTTTCTTTTAAGGGAATCCCCAGGTGCATCCCCTCAAAAACTTGCTGAGCACAAGAAGAAAACGGCTCCGCGAAAAGTTCGAAGAAAAACTTGGTTGGTACCTTTGGGTGTAGTGAACGACCCCCTTTTTTACCCAGCAAAGCCATCGGGAGGTACCAAGGGACAGTCTTGGCAGGGCATCACCCACAGATTGGGGCTGCGGACGGTGGCCCACGCTCCAAAATCCCCGTGGTACTTAGCGGAACAGGGTACTTAGTAAGGGTTTAGTAACTATGGTTATAACCCGCTTAGGATACTCACAACCATGATAAGTGGGCTTTCAGTACGGAAGCAACAAGCAGTTGCAAGATTCTAGGGGTTGATTCCCCATTCTGTTCAACCATCGTAACCAGGCTGCTTCCCCAGTTTATATATATGTATATATATATATATTTCTTTTTCCGAAAGAAGGATGCCAGGAAAATTTGGAAATGGAAGGTACCCCTAGAAAGATGAGACCCGGTGCTGGCATCCTCCTTGCATTTTTTCTCCAACTAGCTACTTGCTCCCGGGTTCGGAGCTCTGGACTGGGGTTCCGAGGGGGGGTGCTGGGGATATTTGTGACCTTCTCTTCCAAGAGGGAAATGAAGGAAACCCAAAGTTCCCCCGTTTCTTTTGTTTCCCCCGGCGGCTTACCTTGAAACCTTCAACCCTCCCGCCCCCTCCCAAAACAAAATAAACTTACCCCTTAAAACTCCAAGCCCTGGAAAAGTTAATCTTTTACAGACATACAGCCCATGTTACCCAAACAATTGAACAGTTGTGTTTTTAAGAGGTAAGTAAATAAACAAACATAACGGAAAACGACAACGTCCCCCCACATCTGGCAAGCAAACTTGTTCAAAGCGCCGCACCCATGGCCCTTCCGATTCCGAGCTCGCGACAGGCCGTCCAGCTTTGCCAGCTTCTTGCCTTGGGACTCGGGGGAATAAACCGAGGGGTCCCCTTACGTCATCGGGGCTGGGGGGGGGAGCCCAAATAAGCCCTACATGAAGCCTTATTAGGATTTATTAGGGCTCCCCCCATGATTAAAAGACCCAGGGGTACCCTTAAAGCAACCCAGGGTGTCAACTGCTTGACTAAGAAGGTTACCATGAAAAAGCGATTTTTCAACATATAGCTTCCTAACGTCTCAGCACCGTGCCAACTTCTGCCTGCAGCTTCTTTTGGTCCTGGCGCGATCGAAAGAAGCGTGGCGTGGCGCCGTGCTGCGAAAAACCACGGGCTCCGAGATGGAACTCACTCGCAGCAAGCTGGAACTGGCATACTCAAAACCTGGTATTAAAACGATATACCCAGAACTCATACCCAGAACTCCCTTGCAACTGCCACTAAATCTGCCTTCTTTTTGAAACAAATGCAAGACCTGAAATGGGGAGCCCACGTAAAGCTCGTTTTACCCCCAGGTCAGCTCGTCATAAGTTGCGCAGACCAAATGAAGGTTCCCAAAACATGATACTCCGTGTCAGACCTGTGGTTTGCCGGCGGGTACGTGACAAACCGTACCGAACAAATGCCGAACAAATACGTCTAGGTCCTCCAGTAGAGAGGTTAGAATAAGGGCACCCTTTTTCCTGTAGTCTATTTTGGTAGGGGAACCCTCCCCCAAAAAAGGGTAGAAGGGCACTACTGGGGACCTAGACGTAGTCAGCAATGAGTATCGCAAGCAAAGCGTTTGTGCATAGTACCGAACCGAACTGAACTGACAAAATAATATCCCCCCTCTAACATCACCCCACCAAAAGGAACCTCACTTTGAAAAGTCCCCAACGGTTTTGCTACAACCCCAAACAGTAACCAAAGTTTGGCCTACATCTAGGCGACTCCGCAAAAAGTAGCGTCTGACTTTGTTCCATACGTTGTCTACCCTAATGAATCATTTCCTGAGTGGATGGGTCAGGACAAGACCAAACTTTGCGTGTACCACTAAACTGGTCCAAACCCCAAAAAAGTGACTGAAGTTCAGGAACTCAGGGATGGGTCAAAATCCCGTACCCCAGTGAACATCCCAATCCCCACTAAAATCGACTACAATGGGTGGTGCACCTACCCCAAAATGGGATCCCAGTGGTTTTGACAACCACAGCCATTTTGGGGTTGACCCCCGAAAACAGGGTTTTTTGGAACCTCGAGACCCAGCTTCTGCATTTCGAAGCTTGGGGGCGAGTCCAGCGTCGATCCCGGCTCCGCCCATGTCCTCCTCTGAGAGCACAGGGGCGGCCGGCGCCGGGGCCTGCTCTCGGGCCAAGCTTGGTTGCTGCAGCGACTTCCCACCTTTTTTCACGTCGAGCCCTAAGATAGATTCCCTTTAAAACCAACAAAGGAAAAATAAACACATATTCTAGGCCCTCCAGTTTTCGAGGTGAGAATAAGTTGGTACCCGATACTTTTGTTTGTCTATTTTAGTAGGGGAACCCTCCCAGCCAAAAAAGGGGAGAGAAGGGCACTTCTGGGGGACCTAGCTGCAACAACTTGCGATCGGTGCGAAATCGGTGGGGGGATGATCATCTAGGCTGTCCGTTTCTGATCCCCCGCTACAAGTGACTAACTTTTAGTGGGCTAAATGGAAACCAGTTCCATCAACCAGGAAACCGGGCGCTTCCGCAAACTCTTGAAACTTCAACAAACCTAGGCTGTCCTCAGATCCCCCGCTAAAAGTTTAACTTTGGCGGGTTAAATGGAAATTCCCACTAAACACTAACAGGCTAAAGAGCTAAGGGGATGGCTGGGAACCACCAAGAAACATTGAATCAACAAAAGTAGCGAGGCCCTCGCCATGTTCCAAGCGTCCCCCGTTACAACCAAAAAGTCACGCCAAAACTAGAGCAAGTCAGCCAGAAGGGGCACACATGAGGACCTGCAATTCCCCAAAACATACGCTTGCAAGATCCTGATGTAATTAAAAACACCTGGGCCCCCCAAACGTAGGGATCGTCTTTTCGGAGTCGGGAACGCCACGCTTTTGGCGGAGTTTGCTGCGCGGAGAGGCTTTCTGCTTTTGTGTTCAGGCCACAAGCGCTGCTCGCATGGCATTGCTTTATAATTACTGTGCGCAACAAGAGGCGCTGAAGTTGCTCAGTCCTAACAGCCAAGCAAAATGCGCCAAAGAATCTGTAGGTAATACATATTTGCATACCAAGGTGTGTTGTAAATGGTTAGACTTTGTGTCAGCTTCGCAAGAAAACGAAACCAAATATCTTGCCTGAGACACGCTGCGGAAGGATGCCTCAAGTAATCTTGACTTCGATCCGTACCACTGGCCTTCGCATACACTCACACCTTTTACAGCTAATCCCTTGCTTTGCAACCCGGGAGCACCACAACTTCTCAATCCTCACGCTTTCAAGGCGGTTCAGTTCAACACTGTCTTGGCGGCGCTTTCGGCAAGTTGGCGAAGAGAAAAACACATAGATTTCGTTAGTCCAACGTGTAAACCCATTCCAGGGAAGGACGCTTAAAGCAGGTGTGGCGGTGCAACACAAGCAACCCAAATTTGGACCTATCGCCTCCTGCCAGCTTTGCCTTTCGCAATGTTTCTGCAAGCTGCATGTGCGATATTTACTTCCAGAGCAGCGGGAATTGAGGCAGAACATCCAGGCTGGTCCTATCGCTGTTGGGCTGTATTGTCTATCAATGAACTCATTGTAGGTTCGATCCACAACAACAGGACCCTGTTAGAAGTATGATGTTCAAACCACCTAAAAGTGGGCGGAAGGCTTGATTCAGTTTCCCTTTCAGCGGTTCTGGGGCGGGTTTCCAGTTGCCCTCCATAAGAATCAAGGCTCCCTTGCCGCAGCCCCGAGAAAACCACGCCCAGGTGATCTCCCCACCAGCCCCGGAGCCAGAACCGGCCCAAACCGTCAACCCACCGCCTTCGCCGGCTGCGGCGAGGCCAGCGCCGGAACCGGCGCGGCCGGCGCAGGCCTTGGCGGGTCAGGGTGGCTCGTCTCCGATCGAGATGAGCCACGAAAAATCACCGGAGGTTTGCCACTCATGTTGACCCAGGATTCATGAACCTGTCCCATTATTGAGGGGGCGTTCCCTCCAAAAGTGGTCTGAATCCCCACTAAAAGGAATTGGACCCCCCCAATCAAAATCCACCAGGGGTTTAACTTCAGCCGGGGTTAACACAGTAAAATAGCCTCCCCAGACCAAAAAAGTGACGACTAAGGTCCCGGAGTGAGACATTTTGGGGAGGTTTTTAAACTCAGTTGTTCAGTGACCCTGGAAAAAAGGGAACCCTTTTTTGGGCTTGGACCATTTTAGTGGGGCAGCCACCAAAAAAAGGAAAAATAATTGGGGCCACTGAACAACTGAGTAAAGGACAAGCGAAGCCAGTTTGGGGAGGTCCCCCAGAACAAACCCAGGAACCCCACCAACCCTTCAACTCCAATGGAAGCTGACATGAGGGTTTTGGAAGACTACGTTCCCCCTATCGTCCACTTTCATGATTGGAAACTGGGCTGTCCTCAGATCCCCCACTAAAAGTGACTAACTTTTAGTGGGTTAAATACGGAAAACCCCACTAAACACTAAAAAACTAAAAGGCTAACGAACCGGATGGCTGGGAGCCACCAAGACAAATCATATGCTCGGACCAGGTTTCATGTTTAGTCTACCATGATAACTTTGGAGACCTTAGAAACGTGGGGCGCAAAAACTTCATGGTGTGACAAGGGGTGGCAAGCGTCAAAGTGGTGGGTGTCCCTGATGCAAAAGACCGACATCTTCTACAAACGGGGCCTGTGCACCTCCTATGTTCTCAGTTGTTCAGTGACCCTGGAAAAAAAGGGAACCCTTTTTTGGGCTTGGACCATTTTAGTGGGACAGCCACCAAAAAAAAAGGAAAAATAATTGGGGCCACTGAACAACTGAGTGTTGGAAGAACCTTTCATCTTGAACAATCCTTATGCTGACAACATCCGCTTCGCCACCAGTTCCAATTCTGGTGCGAAATGGAAATTGCTTGTCCACAAGACCCGGCTGACTTGTGTGTGCTAGGTCTTGGAAATTAAACTTGGGGCAGGGTTCAGAAGGGGCCATATTTTGACAACCCAGGTGAGCCAGAATCAAAACCTAGCATCAAGATTCTACCCAGAAACATGTATTCAATTTGAACAGGCGGATATCCCAACCCATTTATGGCTGGGATGGTCCCTTACTTCCCTGCAATTGCCCGGGTTGTGATTGTGAGCCAGGTGCACAATTGGCACCGTTTCATCCCAAGTCCTCCTGTGGCAGACAAAACGGTGAGTTGCAGCCATGGACAGAACGAAACAAAGATGCTAAGCAAAGGCAAGAAACAACACACACCGGTTGGAGACCCGCGGGTGGAAAGCTTAACCCTTTGCGGAAGGACATGTTTAGAAACACAAACCTCGGTTGCTTTCTGCTCCCCTGCTAAAAGTTTAACTTTTAGTGGTTTAGTGGAAGACCCATTAGTTGGCAAAAAGTTGTTCAGTCCTAACAGCCAAGCAAAATGCACCAAAGAAACGTTATATGCTCAGGCCCCATGAAGTAGCCATCGGTTTCTCCAAGATCTCCAGCCCCGAGCCCCTCTATTCAGACAAGGTTCCGGGAACAACAGGTTAACCGTTGGGAAGGTCACTAAAAAACCCGTCAGGTACCTAAGGAGTTCCACCAAATTGAGTCAACCAGGTTGTTTAACCCCTTTTGCGGGTCGGTGTTATCAAGAAACCACCGGGAAACCCACTTACCCGTCAGCTTCTCTCTCATTGGTGGGAGCCGAATCGGTGGTTTGGTGGTGAAATGGAGGAATCGGTTGCCCATTAACCCTCTACAAAAGCCAGGGGTCAGAATCCCCAGATCACCAATCCAAACCAGCAACTAAGGGTTACCTGAACCAGGAAAATGATCTGTGCAGAGATTTGCTGCTGACTGGAAACAAAAGCAAATTAAGTAACCACTTGAGGGGGTCCGCGTATCTCTTTTTTTGCTTGACCTTCTCCCCTGCCTAAAGAAAACAACTCGCTTCAGATTGGCGAACCAAACGATGCAAAGAGACTGCAAAAAAAGCTGGCCCCGAAACCAAAGGACACCGGTCACCGAGTTTTTCCGCCAAGGGCGGCGGGTCATCCTTTAGTTCGGAGAAACTCAAATCCGAAAAGAACCAAATGGAGGAATCACCCCTCACCCTGATAGAGTGGACGACCAAAAACAAGCTAAACTTTCTGTCCGTGTCTAAAATGGTCTCCAAACAAGCAGGGAGTCAGACCCCCGTGTGATTTGGGCCCCATACCTTCGGGGCAACCCCCATTTTCAGGTCCCCATCCTGAGTCCAGAGTTAGCTGAGGGCACGGAGCGGCTGGAGAGCCTCGCCTCCCATGGGGTTGAAGAATACAAACCCAAAATGTACCTTTTCGAGCTTTCCCTTCTTGGTTTTCCCTACAAAACCAGCGTGAAATGAGCGTGGCTCAAAATGAAAGAGCTGCGGTTGTGTCCATCCCCTTGAAACCAGGGGAAAATAAGAGCCTTTTTCATGTCAGCACATGGAAACACATACCAAGGCGCAACTCAGTGGTTTTTTTTGGCCCCCGGCTTGGGCTCTGCGTGCTTCTCCTTCCGGCGCCGCCTGAAGCTGCCGGGGGAGGGCCGCCAAAATTTTTCGGGAGGGGCTTCGAAATGGGCTTCCTCAAAGCTTCACAGCTGCCCTACACTGTCCGGCAAGGTATCACAATACTTCGGGAACACGTCTCCCTTCCTGAGTGCTGGGCTACAACAATTCCAAACTCATTGCCAAGATGGTCTTCCCAAAAATATTAACGTTCGCGAACTCAGGAAGTGAGACGCACAGCTGGTTAGTTTCATGCAGCATCAAGGTTTCTATCTGCACCGTTGTTAACAACCAGAATTGAGGGATCCCGACGTGAGCAGCACCAAAAACCCATCTAAGGTGGTTAAAGGCTTCTGCAGGCCTTGCTAGAACCCCCCCATAAATCATCACTGGCTGAATTGCACCGTTCGGAGGTGTTGGGCGCTCAAGTGACCTTCAGCATGGGTGAGCTCGTTTCAGCCTCGAAGGCCGCATCGTTGAAACTCCACACGCCGCCTAGTAACAAGCAAACAGCGTGCACGCACACGCCAAAAACATCAAACCACGGTTTTAAAATATATAATATATATATATATATATGTAATAATAATAATAATAATAATAATAATAATAATAATAATAATAATAATAATAATAATAATAATAATAATAATAATACTAATAATAATAATAATAATAATAAATAATAATAAATAATAATAATAATAATGATAATAATAATAATAATAATGATAATAATAATAATAATAAAAATAATAATAATAAATAATAAATAATAATAATAATAACAAAAATAATAATAATAATAATAATAATAAATAATAATAATACAATAACAATAAATGATAATAATAATAATACGACAATAATAATAAATGATAATAATAATAATAATCATCATCATAATAATAATAATCATAATAATAATACATAATAATAATAACTAATAATAATAATAATCATAATAATAATACATAATAATAATAATAACTAATAATAATAATAAAGTAATAATAATAATAAAACACGTCCGCACACATTGAATCAAACAAATAACGCGCACAATACAATACCGTACCACAACGTCCACATCCCAAATCACAACATCACGCCTTGCTTAGACGCATCTAACACTATACAGGGGTCCGACCACGAGGGCCGGGCCCCTGACAAATCACAATGCGCCTGAAGGAAAAATATTCACCACGAGTGAGATCGCTTTACCCCTATATAAAGCTCATTACAAACTGCGCAGCCCTATGATGTGTGCCATGACCAAAAACTGTTTCTCCTTTTCGGGTCTGCCGGACACAGCGGCGGCACTGCGGCGCCCACTGCAGGGAACAACTACAGGGAAGCAACTCCAAGGAAAAAGAAGAAACACGGCGCGGCACTCTTGTGGGCGTTGGCACCCGTGTAGCCGGATCTGCTCCAGCCACCGGCTACTTACAGGCGTCCGTGGGATACCGCGCATCTCCTCGACACAAGCTAGAGGTCCACAATGGGGCAGCGTGCAGATTTGCAGGCACGATGACAAGAGCGCACAAGGCTTGATAAAGTTCAAAAGTGTACTTGAACCAGCTGATACATTGACAAGCAGCCACCTACAGTTTGGCAAGTAGATGTGTCCCGCACTTGCCAGCACCGCCGTGGAGAGCATTGCGCTGATCCGCTGCGTGGTTGCATTCGCCCTCGCCCAGTCCGTAAGAAGAGTAGCACGGCAAAGCACGCGTTCCGCTGCTGGGCATATATGCCGGCAGAAGCCCGAGATTCAGGACGCCTGGAAGCGCACTGCCGATTGCTGATTCCCCAGGCTTCGCAAATGGCCCACGGCAACCGCCCGAGCGCTGGCCCCGCCCAAGGCGATGCCGACCGAAACTCTTTGTGCGGGCCATGGTAATGGCATAGGAACCCTTGCATCGCTTGTCTAGGGTATGACACATATATGTATATATATATATATATACTTGGTTGCTTTCTGCTCCCCTGCTAAAAGTTTAACTTTTAGTGGTTTAGTGGAAAACCCATTGGTTGGCAAAAAGTTAAAGTCCTAACAGCCAAGCAAAATGCACCAAAGTATATATATATATAATACACACAAACATGTTTTATAAAGACTCGATTCAGAATTGGCCTGGCGCAGTTTCTCCGGGCCGCGCCTGCGCCCATCCTCCGGCGCAGGCGCCGCCGGCGGCGGCGCTTGAGGCGCTTGAGGCGCTGGCAGGGCTGGGGCCGGCGGCGCCTCCCAGGCACCGCGCCGGGTCGGAGGTGCGTTTGGGTGCGTCGTTTTTTGGAGGTGGTGAGGGGGTGCTAACAAAGGGAGGTGGGGGTGGGGGTGGTGGGGGTGCTAACAGAGGGTGCTAACTCCTTGGTGGGGCTTTTTGGAGGGTACCCCTTGTTGGGGTGGTTTTTTTAAAGGGAAAGCAAAAAGGAAAACGCTCATGACTGGGAAAGCAAAGCGAAACCGAGCATTTTGGAGGTCCCCTAAAGGACACACCCATTTGGATGTTCTTGGAGACTGGGACTCTCTGTGGGGTACGGGGTTAGGTAAAGGTTGGGGGGGCGGGGGTACCTTTTGCTGGTTTTTCTTTAGGGGGATCCCCAAATTGTTTGGTTTCGTTTTAGTGCTCCTCTAAAACCGTTACCCTAAAAAAAAAAGAAAAAAAGAAAAAAAAAGGAGAAAAAAAAACACAGACCCATGTCGTGGTTGCTGTTGACCCCCCTGCAAAAAGTGCTCAACTTGTTGCGGGTTTGGTGGGAAACCCCTTGATTTCCCAAAAAGTTGAAGTCTAAAGATCCAACCCAATAGCAGTCAAGATGTGGGAGGCCCGTTTTTGGGTTCCCGTTTTTATGGTTTAAAGGGGTTCGCAAGGAAAGCCACTGACGTGGCTCTGGGACCAACTTTCCCACCCCGCTTGCCAAGCACCAAGCGACAGCTCAACTTTGTCACTGCCGAAGTTGTCCGAACCCCCTTTAGATGCATGGTTGTCATGCAAAGTGCCAGCTTTGCTTGATAGACAAGGCCATTGGAGTCATAATCAAACCCCGGTACGAAAATGGTCGACCCAGAACCATGTAAAGAATTAAGAAGGCGGCTGCGGCTATTTTTTCATTCTTGGGATTGTCCGTTACTAACCTTCATCGGTTTGATTGTGGCTCATTTGCAATTCCCGACGTAACGGACCTAGCCTCAAGTCGACATTTGCAATTCCCTCCGCTTCACCTTGCAGGGTTGCAAGACACTTGGGCTAGTAGATGTCCTTTCGCTTGCCGTTCAACTCCCAGCGCTGGTCGATCTTTGTTTTTTCGGGCGGGTTCTCAGTGAATGAGGGAATCTATGAAACGTGTCTGGTTGTGTCCAAGGCAAGAAGCCACAAGCTCCCACTCGCCGGAACCAGAAGGACGAAGCGGTCCGGTGTCCACGAGCCGCATAACCAAAAAGCAGTGCGAGCTGCTGCCTTAGGGGCGGGTTCCCATTTGCCCTACAAGGAGGGGTTCAAATCCAAGTCCAAACCAATCCAAACCTTGGGTAGATCCCCCAGCAAAAAGTTTAACTGCTCGGTGAAAAGGAAGTTATGAGGATCCAAAAAAGTAAAGTTTAAACAGTACAGAACAGAAATGCCGGACACTACGTTGCCATCGCCCCATAGTTGTGAACTACATAGGGGTGAATGATTTATGTTGGACATCTCGTGGCAATGCTCAGAATCCTGCAAGTGTTTCAATAGCAAGTGGTTCTTGCCGGGACAAAGGAACACGGGCAAAATAATCGGGCAAGCCAAATCCGGGCAAACAAGCCCGGGCAGAAATTAGGAATGCCTGTGTTGAAGTGGCCCCCAAACCAAGGCCACCTTGCTTGGCCGATTTCGAAGGGGACACTCCCCGGGCCAAACTGGGAAACCGGCAAAAGGTCGTCCACTTGTTGCTCGGAGAAATGAAGCAAACCAAAAAAAACGAAAACAACATCAGACAGCGCGAGCTTTGGGACCAAAACATGTGCCTTGGAAAAAGTGGAAAGTTAAAAAAAAAAAAGGCGCGGTGCGTCTCGGTGCTTTCCGAAGGATTCATCATGGGGGAAGAGGGGGGAGGGGGAGGGAGCCCAAATACGCCCTACATAAGGCCTTAAGGGCTGAATAAGGGCTTATTTGGGCTCCCCCCTCCCCTCCCGCCCCCCACCCCCCCATGAATTCATTTGGGGGGCTGAAGGAAAGGCGCCTGGGCCGCAGACGCCTCGGCCTGGCGCGCGGGAAAAACAATTCGTCGCGCCCCGTGGCGTGTCGAACCGCGGAAACGCGGGGAAGGGCCCATGTGAGGCTTGGGTTCCATTTACAGATGTGTTGGAGCTTCCAGGTGAAGCCTAGGTCCTCCAGATTTGAGGTTAGAATCAGGGTACCAACTTTTTCTGCAGTCTATTTGAGAAGGGGAACCCTCCCCAAAAAAGGGTAAAAGGGCACGAATGGGGGACCTAGAGCCTGAGGGAGTATGGAGTAAACAACTCCTGGTGCAACAAGATCCATCCCCCCAAAACTCAGCCAGTTGGTCTCTTCCAAAACCAGGCCACCGCTCTTACAAATTTTCCAGACAGCTTCCCCGATCAATTCTGACAGTTTCACAAGCTTTGCTTGGTTTTGCTTGAAACGCTCGCTTTGGAGAAGTGTAGCCCAGACCCCCCAAATGACACCGAGGGTAGACTTTGCTTGCTGGTGCTTAGCAGAGAGTGAGGGAATGACCCTTATAAACCATTCGTTGTGGCGACCCTGTTTGCTTTGTGATCCGTGCGAGAGATGCAGGGAATCAGAATGAGCATTGGATTAACCCTTAAAACATATTATTCCATTTGTGTCCCGTCGTCTGAAAGAAGGACAACATTTCCTGTAGCCATAGGTTCCCTTTAAAACAGACGGGCGACAACAAAACATATTATTCTTAAGCAAATGGAAGAATCCCTCAGCAACCAAATATTGGTAACCACCTATCTGGAGAACATGTTGAGGTGAACAAAGTTCTTGCAACGACAAAACAACTCAATGTTCTCCTGCCTAGACGGCTCTTTTTACATAGATTAATCCAAAGTTGGATTGAGCAACCCGTCCTTTAAATAGAGAACCCTCGCTCACCACTGTCTGGTCAGCAAAACATTTGTTGGCTGGTTCCCACATGCGCCAAAACAACTCATCCCAACATCAACAAAACCACCGTCGACCCAGGATTGATAACACCCTATTCATTCTAGGTCCTCCAGATTTGAGGTTAGAATCAGGGTACCAACTTTTTCTGTAGTCTATTGTCTATTTGAGTAGGGGAACCCTCCCAAAAAAAAATGCAAAAGGGCACTACTGGGGGACATAGCATTGAATAGGGGGCGTCGCGTTTCAGAGGAGCATCTGTCACGCAGTTTTGCCCGCTGTGTGGATGAATCTGCGGTCAACATCTGGGTGTGGCTCAAAACTAAAAAGAAAAAAGCTAGGGCTGCGCAGTTGTCTGTCTTTGGTTCCATCTGCCATCATTTGCCATCATTTGCCAAGGGTGCCACTTTGATACATTGTTTTTGAGCCACAGCCATCTAGCCGTAAACCCAGCGAGGAGACCAACTCGAGTCGGCTTTCGAATCCCATCGCGAAGCCCCTGGACCTCGCCTCCTTGCGTTTCCGGCGCCGCCGCGACCGGCTGCGCCTTGGGTCCACGGCTATGGCCCATCAATGTCCCGAAAGAAGCAAGCACACCCGCCTCATGGAGGGCCAAAACAGCCATTCAGAGCCTTGCCAAATCAACTTCTGATCAAGGCCTTTGCTTGCCTAACAGTGGGTAGACCTGTGGGTACTGGGGACATGGCCTTTCGGGGCAAAGCCGTCCAGCTTTCTCCATGAGGGATCCCCAAAGACCCCGATCTGGACACATCTCAGCTGCGTCATCCTGCCCTTTCATGGCTTCCCTAAGAGCTCCCAGCAAGACCACCTGCCTAGCTCCAGGCGAGCTTGCTTGACCCCCAATCGGTGACCCCCTACTGTGGATGGACAAAATCCTGCACCACTTTGAAACCACGGGAAACCATTGTTCATTGTTTATTGGTATTTACAGGGCAATTGTTATTTCAGGGTTTCTTAGGTGGTGCAGGATTTCGTCCATCCACAGTATGAACAACCCTTTGTGGCGTCCTTCAAGGGGGTGCCCAAGTTCATGCCCACAAACCGGTCCTCCTTCCTGCCAAAGTCTTGGGTGAACTTCCCAATCAACTACGGGTCAGCAACTACCAGCACCCCAACAAAAAACTCCCTTTTGCCATGTCCAAAATCTGAAATCCTGTCCAAAAAGATTTGTTGGCGGGGGGGGGGGCTGGTATAGATTTTGCTTCATATCTTACCCTACAAAAAAATGGGAGGAGGCCCAGCAAAAGGCGCGTGGCCACACTTTGTTCAACTCGGGGCGCTGCAAGGTGATGGCCGCAGCTGCAGGCTCCTAAGGGCAAATCCGCTACCGGCCGCTCGACGAAGAAATGTCTGCCACGTAACAGGAACCTGAGTGGACGAGAACCAAACAAATGACATTTCAAAGTTTTGTTGCCACTAAACCGGCAGCCAAACCCAAAAAGTTCAAAGTCCAGGAAGTGTTTGTTCCCCTGATTCGCTGGGTTACCTTCTTTTCATAATAAGAAGCCCGGTTATTTTAGCACCATCACGGGACCCTAGGAAAAAAAGGATCAGGGAGACTAGCAATTGTCAGGACTTCCAATCAGCCTTACGGCCAAATAAGGTTGACAGTTGACCCGATATTTGTCAACTCCAGTTTATTAATAGGCCAAATGTGGCCTCATTTCCCCACTAAACCCAGAGGTAACCACCCCCTAGTAATAAACTGGGGTTGATTAATGTGGGGGTCAACATTAATGTTACCCCGGATTAATAAACCCCTGGTTGATTAATAGGCTAGGGGGGTGTCCCCTTTTAGTGGGTATTCATCACTTTTGGAGGGAACACCCCCCTAATAGTGGGACGGGTTTATTAATCCTGGGTCAACATTACTGTACTGCCAAACGGCCTCCTGGCAGGCGGTTGTCCGAACTACATGATCTTCCCAGGCCGGCTATTCTGGGTCCAGCGGAATCAGTGGCTATACCTCCTGTCAGCACATGGGCCCTCCGAAAATCTATGAGAAATCCTTGACGCATCTTGTCCGAACATGGCCCCTCCGAACATCTGCGATATATCCTTGACACATCTTGTCAGCAACACATGGGCCCTGCAAAAATATACGACAAATCATTAATTGATGCAAAAGTGTCATGGAATGACCACTTGGTTCTTTAGCCCTAAGAGTTCAGGAAGCAACCCGCCCGAAAAAGGTCTCTCAGCACCATGGGAGACCACTGGGTTGATAAGAACTGCAACTGGACCATGTCTTGAGCTACACAAACTCAGAGTGAAGAAGAACAGAGGGGGTCACACAAAGCGTAAGGGCAGTGCAGGTGAAGTTGGGAAGCACTTTAAGCCTTTAAGCAAAAGGTTACGTTTACCCGTTGCAGGTGTGTCGATTCTTCCAGGACCCCCAAAATGATTGTGGATAGTCCATCAGTTTTCTCGTCAAAACCCCTAAAAAAGGGGGACCATCAAAAAAGATACGCGCACTGCCCGCCCAAAAGGTGTTCCCTTCTAAAGGAAAACTGTCTTCCAGGACCTATCTGGTTCCACATTTGTGGATGGAACTACCAAGATGTTTTCCTTTCAGGGCCAAGAGTGTGGTGCTTTTTAGGGGACCTCTCCAAACTTGCGGTTTACCCTTTGACTCTCTTCCCTTCCAAACACGCTAAAAAAGGGTATACCCCCCGAAAGGAAAAACGCAACAACCGGAAAAAGCCTTTAAACCTCACCAAAAACAGCTACAGCCCCCCACCAAAATAAACAAAAAACAAAACAAAGACCTTTAAACCTCACCAAAAACTGGGGCAGCCCTATGAAAAGACCGACCCACAAGTTTTCGGCGTCCAGTCCTGGCCGTTGGTGCCGATCTGGCCATCTGCGCCCCTGGGATGGTTCAGAAGGAAAGCAATGGCTGTGGGTCAAAACTGTTTTGGGATCCCATTTTGGTTGGTAGGTGAATTCACCATAGAATCTTTTTTAGTGGGGATTGGGATGTTCACTGCAAATACGGGAGTTTGACCCATTGCCAAATCTGCCTAGCACCCAAGTCCGAACTGATTCAAAGGTTGGACAAACCAACAAGAGCCATGTCCCATATCAAACTTCGTCAAGGTGCATTTAGGGGGAATCCTCCCGTATCCCGTATCCCTGGTTTTGCCTGTGTCCCCGCTAGCTGGTTTCCCTGAAAATGACGCTTCGACCGCACATGGGGTGTGCCGTTTTTGGTTTTTGTTTACGGTATCCCCGAATTTGTGATTTTTAGGATCAACGGGCCGTGTTTGGTTGGTGGTTCTTTTGATTTGATTTTCGGTAGCTCTAATTTGCGGTTTCTAGATTCACCCGGCGATGTGTGCTTCGACAAGCAACAAACTGACTGAACTGGTAGACACCTGGCAGGCAAAAACCACCACCAATAGTCACCTGCAGCTTAGACAGTGACCTGCAATGTAGTCCAAGGCTTCCAAGAAACAAGCTGCTCTATCATCTCTACTCTTGGTATGGTAGCAAAAAACTGTGTTTTTTGCAGACCCCCAGTAAAAATGAACAGAACCAAAAAACTAAAAAACTAAAAATCATGCCAAGAACAGTGAAGCTATGTCTGTCTGCCTTCCGTCTGCACCTTTTCCAGCTGCGCTTCTCAGCCAAACTGAAGCGAATTGCGCCGCATTGCATTTGGGTGCCAGCGGGGAATTCCCCGCCAAAAATGGTGGGGGTTCCCTTCTTGGCTTCCCTTCTTGGTTGGGGGGTTTCCTGTTGGTTTCCCTTGGTTTCCCCTGAAAACGGTAATCCTCGAAAGAAACAAACCCATTGATCTGCCGGAAGCATAGCTCAGCTGCGGCTCAGTTCCAGAAGACTCCGCCTCTGTTTGGAATAAGACTAATGGGCTTGTCTTTCCTTGAGGGTACCGTGTTTGGTCGATTTCAAAGGGAAACCGAAAGGAACGCCGAAGCCATCCTGGCATGTTGGGGGGAGGTCCGAGTCCTAAAAAGTGACACACCCAAATGGGTACTGGGTGTGTAAGGATAAGACTTCGCAGAAATCGATAACTCGGATGCGCGAGGCTGCACGAAATTCTACCTCAGTTGTTCAGTGACCCTGGATAAAAAAAAGGGAACCCTTTTTTGGGCTTGGACAATTTTTTTAGTGGGGCAGCCACCAAAAAGTTGGAAAAAGGGACTCGGGGCCACTGAACAACTGAGATACCAAGGCGTGTGAAAAGGAGACTCGAAAGGATGGTGCGGTTCCAGGCGAAATCACCGGTTTTATGCTGACGGTACCTGGAGTCTTCCATGACCCTAACAAAAACAAATGAAGTCCGGACATATACCCAAAAATTGGGGGGGGGGGGGGGTCATGACTTATGAACCCTTTTCCCCCAAACAGCTATCTCACCTGTTGTATTCAAGATATCATTCGCTTTCCATGTTCACACCTCCCCCAACACTGCTTGAGGTCTCTTGCCGGTGTAATTCAGAGGGTCACGGAGACTCCAGGTACATTTTGCCATGGGTCAAAAGCCCGTACCCCGAGTGAACATCCCAATCCCCACTAAAATAGGTACTAAAATGGGTGGTGCACCCACCCCAAAATGGTATCATTGGTTTTGGCCCACAGGGGCGAGTTTCTCTTTCTGAGTCCAGCACCGCTGCTGCTGGAACTCCGGCAAGTAGATCGACAGGAACTCCTCGTGATCCTGGACATACCTCGGTAAGAAAAAAGAGCAACTGAGTCACAATCAAAACCCGGTATTAAAATGGTCTACCCAGAACCATGTACAGGCGGCCGCAACTATTTCTGGCTGGGACTATATACCCCTTACTAGCCTTCATCTACCCGGGTTTTGATTGTGGTTCAACTTGTCTCTGCATACATTACTTGGTTGCTTTCTGCTCCCCTGCTAAAAGTTTTCAACTTCTTAGTGGGTTTAATACGGAAAAACCCATTAGTTGGCAAAAGGCTATAAAGTCCTAACATTCAAGCAAAATGCACCAAAGAGTAGTATTCCCTTCTATTCCCTGAAAATTTCCTGCTATTCCCTTAAATGTCCCTAGAATTTCAACCACAATTCCTCTAGCATTCTCTTACCTCCTGAAAGGGGCGGCTCACTTCCTGAGTGGGTGGGCCAGTCAAATGTGCCACTAAAATAATCTGCCCAAACAGTCCAGGGAGCGGGGTGGGCCATTTCTGCTCCGAACGATCATGAGAGTGGACAGGGGGGGTCCCCAACAGGCAAATCGTCTTCTACCACCCTAACACCCTCCGGTCCTCAGCTTCCCTTGAAGCCACCCAATTTTTTTGGGCAAGGCAAGGTTGCGGGACCTCATGTTGGTGGACGACATCCGCGCCGATCACTGGTCGCTGGCGTCTCCGGCTTCCCATCCCAACTGGTCCAACTGGTTTCACGGTCGGGAATTGGCTTCCTACGGAAGTTCTCCCCGTTGTTCGGGTGCTCTTCTCTACTTGTTTCAAAACGTGCAGCCACGCATGCCGAGGAAGCATTTGTGTTTCGATGCTTCTCCAGTAGCTGGGTCAAGTTGGCCTTTGTGGAGTTCATGTGCGCAAGCACAAAAAGGCGCCAATGTCATGTCCAGCGAGAT